TTTTTTTTTTTTTTTTTTTTTTTTTTTTCTCTTTTGGCTTTTTTAAGACAGGGTCTTGGTATGTAGTTCAGGCTGCCTTCCAATTTTTGGCAATATTCTTGCTTCAGCCTCCTAAACTCTGGGATTACAGGTGTACACCACTGTGTCCAGCAATCATGACTTAATTTCTGCAGCCCTAGTATTTAGTACAGTGATTGCAATATATTAGACACACAATAGTGTTTATTCAAGAATGAGAGTCAGATAGTCAGGCATGGAGGTACTTGTCTGTATTACCAACACTCAGGAGGATGAGGCAGGGGGATTAGTGCGAGTTTGAGGCCAACTAAAAAGATCCAAGTTAGAAGGAGATTTATTATTTATATTTCACAGAAGACAAATCCTAGACTAGACGACTCTAAGGGTCACATAGTCAAAGCCATAGTCACTTATATCCTGATCTGGGATAATTAAACAAACCCGTTTAGAAAAGCAAAGGAGGTAAGGTGTAAAAATGAAAATGGATTTACCCAGACAAAATGCTTAGGTTTGCAGAATCACTAAGGAATCTGTCCAGCACTAGAGATCTAGGGAAATTTCGACAGATGGAAAAGGAAGCAGTTCATTCCAGGAGCAGATGTAACAGCTTCCTCTGATTGGACCTAAAACCGGGTCCGGAGCCAGATTCCCTCCTGAATGAAGAATGAGAAAAGTTTTGTATATGTGATCTCCGAGTTCTCACCAAGAAAAAACGAATCCTGAGAACAGCACAGTCCGTTTGGCGTCTCCAATTCCCTCCACCTTTCCTGGCTAAACAGATCAAGGTGCAGGAGGGGCGGCCGCAAGGAAGGAATCACAGCCCGGCTGGACGGTTAACTCGCGCTTCCCCGGAGTGGCTTGGCCTTTCCACTGACACTTGAACTCACCCAGGAACAACTTCAAGACTTTAAAGATGGACTGAAGAGAGAACTTTCATTGGTTCAGGACCACAGAGCCGTATATCCCTGACTGGAAGAAACTCAAGTCTTCTAACTCGCAGCAATCTCCACCAAACCTCTGGTCACCACGATGACAACGCAGTCTCCGTGATTTCCAGGCCGAGACCGATGCGGACTTACCTAATAAATATGGAGTTAGATTATCCTTCAGAAGAAAGAAAAGAGAGTCACTGAACACAAGCAAAAGAAATGAAATCTGAGGGAAAGAGGCTTGTTTGACACAGTAGGCCGGAGCTACGCCCGTCATTACTCAGCTCTAGCGAGCTGACCGAAATGCAACGCCAAAGTCTCTGACCATTCAAACCTTCCGCTCTCCCATCAACCTATCCCCGCCCGCCTATAGGCTATGTTAGCCAATCGCTGCGCTGTCCCCTCGCGCTCCCACGTCCAATCGGTAGGCTTGTACTTCACCCGGGGTAACGCACTTGCTCTGAAACGGGCATCATTTGCTCTAACCACGAGCCAAAGCAGGATGGCGATTGGCCTACCAGCATTAAGCCCCACCCAAAGGGAGCCCAACGCCCCATTGGCTCTTGCTTTGGCCAATCGCCACACCCTTCCCGTCGGTTTATTACCTTAGGCCCGTCAACCCCGGGAGATTTAAATTGTACCTCGCCAGCGATGACCATTTGATAGGATAGTACTAGGAAAGATTCTTTTGGGTGGCAGTGTTTCTTTTTCCTTGCTTCATCTTCGTGTCATTTCTCTTTAATTTTGCTAGCCTTCGGGCCGGGATGGAGGATTTACCGCCCGCGGTTCAGGAATCAGTGCGTGACAGGTGTGTGGGTTTACGCTGAATGGCATAGGCTTTTCCACTGAGGTTTCCTGTTCATTGTCTTTTTTTTTTTTTTTTTTTTTTTTTTTTAACCGGGGATTGAACTCAAAAGCCTGAGTTTGTTTTTTATTTTGTTTTGTTTTTGTTTTTTGGTGGAACCGGGGATTGAATTTAGGCCCTTGTACTTGCCAGGCAAGCGCTTATTCTACTGAGCCATCTCCCCGGCCCTCATTGTCTTTTTAGAGCGAAGCATCTGAGACGCTGTTATAAGAGTAAAAAAATATTTTTCAGAAAACAGTAAAAGAGTTGAATCGCGTGTTTGCGTATTTTTTGAGATACTGGGGATTCAAACCTAGGGGCATTCTACTGAGCTAAATAAACTCAAGCCCTTTTATTATTTTGAGACGAGAGTTTCGCTACATTAGCCAGGCTGGCCTTGAACTTGTGATTCTCTTGCCTCAACCTCCCAAATAGCTGGGTTTACAGGCATGCAATACACTCAGCATCTTAACGTAATTCTTACCAAGGTCCAGGAGATCCCAAACTTTAGCTGGTTATGAAAATTATTTTGTATTTTGTATTTTTTTGCAATACAGTAGTGGGAACCTAACAGGGCTAAGGGCATGTAAAGCAAGTGCTCTACCACTTACTACAGCCTCAGTCCTAGGCTTTTTGTTTGTTTTGAAATAGAGTCTCACTGTGCCATCCAGGCTGGCCTCAAACTCCAAACTCTTGGCGATCCTCCTGCCTCAGCCTCCTAACCGCAGGAACTACTGGCATGTGCCACTATGTCTGGCTAGTCCTAGGAATTCTTAATGTCAAACGCTTGCTTTTAAATACTATGAGAGCCAGGCATTGTTGAGCACACCTGTGATCCCGGCACTCTGGCAGGCTGAGGCAGAAGAACAGGTTCGAGTCCAGCTTGGGTAACTTAAGTGATTTAGTGAAACCCTATCTCAAAATAGGGAGCTGGGGATACAGCTTAGCAGCACAGCACCTGCCTGGCAATAGCAAGGTTGTGAGTTTGATTTCAGATCCAAAACAAACAAACAAAAAAAACCAATATCTCAAAACAGGAAATAAAAGGGGGCTGCAGAATATGAAGACCATGGGTTCAATCCCTGGTACTGGAAAAATAAATGGTGTCAGTGTCATGGTGAGTACAAATAAAACTGGCCATGAATGTTGGATGATGGGTTGGTAGCAGGATGTCATGTACAGGTCGGGGTCTGTTTCATTGGTATAGCACTTGCCTGGTCTGCAGGAGGCCCTGAGTTCAATCTCCAACACACACAAAAAAAAATGCAGTGTGCATAGTAACCACTGGAGATGCTGTTAAAATACAGGTTCTAATTCAATAACTCTATGTTTTGGCCAAGGTTCTGCATTTCTGAAAAGTTCTGATCTGATGTCATGCCTCTGTCCCTCCTCGCCTTTTTTTTTTTTTTTTTTTTCTATGATAGAGTTTTACAAAGCTGGGCCTGGTGCTGCACACCTGTAATCCCAGCATTCAGGAAGCTGAGGCAGGAGGATCACTGTGAGTTTGAGGCCAGCCTGGGCTACATAGTGAGTTCAAAGCCAGTCTGAACTACATAGCAAGATTGTGTTTCAAACAAAACAAAACAATGAAACATACCAAAAAAAAAAAAAATGAGTCTTACCATAGTGCCTCTAATTTGAGGCCCCCAATCTTAGCCACCTGAGTAGCTGGGATTACAGGTACATGAACTTGTCCAGCTTGTGATGTTCTTCCGTGTATATCTGAAATCTTTCATAATTAAAAATGTTTGAAGTAGCCAAGTATGGTGGTACATGCCTGTAATCCCAGGCAGGAGGATCACAATTGATTGACCTAATGGAACCCTGTCTTAAAGTGGGGAGGAGCTGTAGATATGTCCCAGTGCAAAGACCCTGGGTTTAACCCCTCATACCAGAATTTAAATATATATATATATTTATTTATTTATGGAACCGGGGATTGAACTCAGACCCTTGTGCTTCTACTGAGCCATCTCCCCAGCCCCTCTAAACATGTTTAAAATATCTTTTTTTTGTGTGTGTATGTGTCTTTTTTTTTAAAAAAGCATTTATTCTAGATGAAAAAGAATTGTGTGTCTTTTTGAGACAGGGTCTTGCTATCAGTTCAGGCTGGAGTTGAGCTCACTTTGTAGCCCAGGCTGAGGTCTTGAACTCAGTGATCCTCCTCCTTCAGCCTCCTGATTGCTGGGATTACAGGTGTGGTGGCTTAAAATATCTTTGGAAGCCCTATAAAATGCAGACTCCTGAAACTGATTCAACAAGTCTAAACTGAGACCCAGAATTATCAAAGCCTCCAGGTACTACCCATACCAATAGATTGCAGACTACACTTTGATAAGCAGAAATACAGCTTTTCTCTAAAGTCATGGTCTTGTTGGTGACAGTGTCTGAGAGGTGCAGTGTACTCAGCAGGTGTTTATCCTAATACCTTTTTAATCTGTAGAAATTGCTTTCCCAGGCAGGAAGAGTGCGAAGAGTCTTTGTGCTCTGGGGCAGAGACAGTAAATGTGGGAGTCAGCACAGAGCCTTGTCATAGCACGTAAGTTGCAAAGTTAGTGTGAAAACGAAGTGAATGTGACAGAGTTGATTGCTGTTTGATGACTATAATTTTCATGGAGAACTGTATATGACCCTGCAGGTGGGAAGTAGAAACAGATGAAGTTGTCCTACAGCGGCGGCAAAAGCAGATAGACTATGGCAAATGTACACTTGGTTACCAGTGCTTTCTGCAGCAGGTTCCCAAGTGAGTACATTTTTGGATAGTCACAAGTGTGTTGGCCAAGTGGCACTGGTCAAATCTCAGGTGTTGGAAAGATATTAGAACATGAGTGCTCTAACCAATCGGTAACATTATTAATTCTCTCACAATCTAGTCTCCAAAATAAGTTTTGGAGATTTTCTCAAATACTTTGCCCATAAAATGTTCAAAGTTCTATTTTGGTTCCGGATGAGGCTGTTTTATTCCTAAACTTATTTCCCATGGCCTCACGCTTGAGCTGTCTTAACTAATTGCAACATACTCAATTAATGTAAGTTACATACATATATGCAAAATAAATATATGAAAAAATAGCATGGATTGTAAAGTTATATCAAATACTATCTTATATATTGACTTCTGAAGGTGGTGTAATGTAGATAATTGACCCTTTCCAGGAGAAACAATATTAGGGGAATGGAAATTTTACAGTATAATTTGATTTGAAAATTCACTTTTTCTGTTGGATTAATCCTACATCCTTCTAGTGAATTCCTATTTTTAAGGGCCTGATTCACTATGATAAGCAGTAAATCATATCCCTTTGCTTTGACCTCCATGTGACCTCCATTTGTTGTTGCCAGAGCACAGCGACAACCAGGGATTCACCCTCAAACACCAAACAAGAACAGGAGATACAGCCGTCGTTCCTGGGATGCTCAGATCAAGCAGTGGAGAAAAGCCCTACATACCTGGGACCCTCCCAGCCTGCCTCTTCAGGGCAAGGGGACAGAAAGGTATTTTAGGCATTCCTGGTTCATTCTGTGAGTGGCAGCTGAGTCCTACCACTCTCCACTTACTTGGTGGAGATTTGGCTTTTACTGTGTGCATTTATGTTCTCTGACTCTGCTACCTCCCTAGGAAGGGAAAGGAGAGTCTCTTAGAATCCATGGGTTCTACTTCTCTGGATGAACTCCTGGGTGACTGGCTCCAGGCCCTGGAACCCTCCAAGAATCTGGATGGAGGACAGAACACTGCCAAGGTAGTATTCTCTGCTGAAAGCTATTGGAACAAGGTCATAGATGGTGTCTGTCTGACTCACTAGGGCACAATTAAGGTGGCATTCAAAGAAGTGGCACAAGAACAAAAAAATACAGAGCAGCAGGAAAAAGTGGCAGGACATGAGATTTAAAACTTGAGAGCTCAAAATAAATAGAAATAAAAACTAAAACTTGACAGGCCGAAGAGATAGCTAAGTAGAATAAGTGCTTACCTGGCAAGTGTAAGAGCCTGAGTTCAATCCCCGGTTCTACAAAAAAAAAAAAAAAAAAAAAAAAAAAAAACTTGAGCGCTCAAGGACTAGGGATATAGCACAGCAGCAAAGTGCCTGCCTGGCAAGCACAAGGTCCTGAGTTTGATTTCTGGTAACACACACACAAATTAGAGTAGCCAAAAATTGAGAGCTCAAAGTCACAAAACAATATTTAATTATGGACAGAAGTGTTGGCTGCTCTTTCTGGCTTTATTTTTGGTGGTACTGGAGATTACATCTAGGGCCTCACACATTTTAGCAAGCACTGTAGCACTGAACTGCATGTCCAGGCCTTTTTTTTTTTTTTTTTTTTCTTAAGATGTCACTAAATCACCTCTGCTGGCCTCTAACTTGTGATCTCCCTCAGCTTACCCAAGAACTGACTTGACAGCCTATCCAACAGACATGCATCATGGCTTTGAACAGAGGCTATTTTATTTTTTTATTATGTTTGCAATACATAATAATTCATCTTGGGATATTACATATATATACGTATATGCATCATACACACACACATCAAATCTTGATCATTTTTACCCTCTTCCACCCCTTCCCCTGAGGTTCCCTTCCTACCTCCAAAAGATCTACTTCCCTGTGTCCTACCATCTCTTTATTTTTCTCATTATTTATATTTTGGGTTTCTCATATATGAAAAACCATGTGATAGTTAACCTTCTGTGTCTTACTTCACCTAGAATTATGATCTCAAGATCTGTCCATTTTCCCACAAATGTGTCAGATTTATCCTTTATGGCTCAGTAATACTGTATTGTGTGTACATGTACCATCCCCTTTTCATTTGAGAAACTATTTTAGCCTTGGTGAAAGGAAGTACAATTTTCTTTTCAAATGAGTCCTGAAGCCTTACTGGCAGTGTTTTTCTTCAATTTTTCAGGTTTTTGCAAATTTTTAGTGTCTCTTCTCTTTTTCTTTTTTCCCCCCTATATTTTTTTTTAATTTTTTATTTATTTATGTGGGGGGGCAGCTCAGCCCACCAGGGGGCGGGGCTGGCTGGCATGTGGTGCTGGGGATTGAACCGGGGTCCCTGTGCTTTGTTAAGCTTGGTCTACTAGGTGCTTTAGACCACTACTGAGCCATCTCACCAGCCCCTCCCCCTATATTTTAGGGAAGGGTCTACAGGGTGTTCAGGGTCTCACTACTAGATCGGACTCATGGTGATCCACCTGTTTACAGCCTCCCAAGTGCTGAAATTACAGGCACGCGCCACCACATCTAGGCTCAGGCTGGCATGGCAGGTCTGGGGATAGAATCCCAGGCCCCTGTGCCTGTTTGCAGGTGCTTTAATCTGCTGAGCTATTTGGCCAACCCTTTAGTGTTGTTTCTTCTGTTGTTTTGCAACTGAGCCAATGCCAACTTAACTTCAACCATTTAACTTTAGAAAGTGTTATTAGTAACAATTGCCTAGTGTGAAAAGCAAGCACCGAATGGTTTCAGATTTTTTGATATAAACTTTGCCTATCAAACAGGCAGTCATTTAACCTTAGGTAGTTTGTTTGCAAATGAGATAGTTTTCTCATTGTAGGCAAAAACAAGTATATTTTAAAAAGAATATATATTCAAAATATGTAGCACAATCCCTGGCACATAATACATACATTTAAATGTTTATGGGGGAGTCAACCCATGGCATGTGTGCTACAGCAGGAAAGGAAATCATATCACCTACACATCATGGCCTCTGGCTTTCCTTTTTCTCTTTGCTAAGAGGAAACTGCCAGGAAATAATAAATCTTCACTCTCATTTTCTTTTTTCTCTTTGAAATGGATCTCACTATGTAGTTCAGGCACCTGGAACTCTGTGATCCTCCTGCCTCAGCCTCCAGAGTGCTGGAACTATAATCATATGCTACCACACCTGCCCATGGTCTTAATATCTTACTTTCCCTTTCTCTTTCAGTTTGCAGACTTGGTGGCTCCAATTTCCTGCCCTCTCAGGCTCAGTGAGGAAGACAGCAATTCGTGTGTCCCAGACTTGGATACAGCAGAAAGCATTTAAAGAAAACATGTCTTTCGGGGGACTTGCTGCTAAATGTGATAGTGAAGTCACTGGTTGTACTACTTTCCAAAGAAAGAAGGAAGGAAGGAAGGAAGGAAGGAAGGAAGGAAGGAAGGAAATCCAAAACTCTTGCCTTACAAAATGATCACAACATGAAAGCATTCTTCAAAATTTTCCCCTTTTTCTTTCTTCTTTTTTGTTTGATGGTGAGACTCGTGTTTACAGAAGAGCCAAAAACTATTTACCTAATTTCTTCATCTACTTAATCTACATTAAGTCTCTTTAAAAAGGACTGGAACTCTCTGGCTGAGATGGGGGGTGGTGGTAGTGGTGAAGACTTAATAAAAAGGTGGTTTCCTCTTCTCGAAGACGAAATATAGCGCCGTCAACATCGTTTGTCCATCTGCCTTTTTCCTCCCTTCCTTTCCATCTTAAGCGGTCCAGCTGTAACCGCCGTACCTGCCCTCCTCCCCCAGCAACTGAACCGTCTATGATGTCATAATCACAATCCCATTACCTCATCCTGCTGGGGGGGGTGTGGAGGGAGAAGAGGGAATGCAGAGCCCTTGGCCCTCCTCAGCTTTACAAAGTGTTCTGGGTAAGGGCAAATTACAGAACCAAGTGGGCACGCCCCCCGTAACCCTTATAAATACTGGGTTTATTGGTTCGAGCAAATCCAGCAGCTGACGAGGGGGTCCACGGACTCAGAGTAGGCCCTAATAGGCGCTTGGACTACATTTCCCAGGAGCCTTCACGCTACGGACCGGTCCTTTATTGGAGGCAGAGGGGGGTTCTTTCAGAAAGGTGGCCGTATGGCGCTGAACAGGACAGCAGGTGAGAGGCACAGTGCTCGATTCTATTAAGCGGCCTCGAGGAAGTAAGAAGTTGCAGCTGCGCCGATGTAGGGATGAAGGGTGGGGACAATGGCTTTGTTTACCTTCGTCCAACAAGGCCTCCCCTGCGAGTTCCAAGATATGCCTCCAACTGGGTCCGTCCACGTTCTTCGATAATTTGGAGGGGAGATTCGTTAGGAGTAGAACCACTTCATCCCTAAATCAAAGCGCCTCAATCGTTCCCAACCAAGAAAGTCTAGAAGACTTCTAAGAGAAAAAAAGACACAGGGGTTGGGCCTCAGCGGGCGGTTTACGGGGATTCTGCGAGCCAGATCGCTTACCCTACTCTCCTCAGTGGCCGTTTGGTTTGTCCCGATGCCTTTTAAGGGCACCGTGGGGCGAACGGAGCGCTCAGAGCTGCTCTGGCCGCGGCCCTGGGAGCTGGACCGACCGCGGTAGGTAGCAGAGAGCAGGTGGCCCTGGGGCCTCGGGGCGGGCATCTTGACTGGCCCTCCTTTCTCTTTCCCCTCCCCCAGCTCAACCTCCCGCGCGGTCAGGCCTCGAAGGCCGCCTCCGCGGGGAGAACACGGGACTCGGTGGGGGAGGGGGTGGCGGAGTGCTAAGTCTTAGACCCTCCCCATCCCCTGCGTGTCCTGAGTTTGCTTCCCGCGGCCCTGTGATGGAACTGGAGTGGGAAGAGGAGAGCGACAGTCCCCTCTTAGCGAGCCCTGGTACCCCCCCGGGGGGGGGGCAGTAGAAGCCTCGTGCCCCACCCCGCGGGGACAGGCAGTAGGGCAACGGAGGGAGAGGTTAAAGATTGGAGGGGGCCTAGCCGTTTGCTTCTTCGTCAGAGGGGGGAGGGGTGCTCGTCACTTGTCACCCCTATACCCCCCAGAACCTATATGAAGAGCATTCAGGTCCCCACTTACCTGCTCTTGCACCTCCCTGCCTCCTTCATGTTTTCCTTCAGTCTTTCCCAGAGGTCTGGTGTTGGGACCCGGGGGGAAGGTCCCTAGGGCATATGTGGCTCTCTCCCTTGGCCTGACTTGATCCTAGGTTGTCCAGGTTTCAGCACAGCCTCAACATCCCTGAAACACGAGCAAGAGGGGTTACTGCCATCGAATAGGATAGAAAGAGGAGATCCAATCTTTATTTTAGGGGGCTTATGCTGGAGAGAGAGAGAGCTTGGGCTGAGAGTTTGGCCTGGTGGGGTTGCTGGGAGGGCCTACTGGCCTGCTGCTCTGGGAAGAGCTGAACCTCGCACCAGTTGTTAAGCTGAGAAGTTTTAACTTGTTTAGTGAGTGTTCAGGGCTGTCTCTACCCTTCAGATATACAAAATGGAGAGGAAGGAAGGCGGCAACAGAGGAGGGCTTCTTACACTTTTTTCAATGCCTGCTTGAGAAAGAGGAGGCCCCTCGCAGAGCTGGTTTGCCTTCTTTTGTGTCCTGGTTTGATTCCTTATGGCTTCCGTTCTGTTCCCCCTCTCTGTCTGGCCTGTTTTAGGAAACTCAGGCTGAGAGTATCAGTTGCGTGGTGGTAGTTGCATTGTTCCAATTACCGCTGTGTGTGGCCACATCCCAACAATTAAAGTGCAGAAAAACACAAAATCACTCTCTTCACTTGATTCTAAAGAGGGTTGCGAGTTTGCTATTTGTCCAAATGCCTCATGGAAAGCTTGAAAGAGTTGGTTTCACTCCTTGCTTCTCAGGACTGGTCAGCCTGAGGCCTGGGGTCTCTAGGGTAAAAGCCTGCAGTTAGCTTCTCTCTCTGGTTCATCTTTGAGGGCAGAGTTAAGGATCCAGGAGCAGAAGTGATATAAATTGTAGCTTCTCTCACAGGAACGTAGGGGAAGCAGTTCATAGGCGCTCTCAGAAAGCTGGAACTTAGTTCAGTGTAATAGTAATAATTATGCATGAAAATGATGGTTGATTATAATGATGATTGGAAAAAAATGATTGACTTCTGAACTGTTCTTCCAAAGAACTCCAAGTACAAGTACATCCAAGTGTTACTTCTTTTCACTACTGTGTGGCTTCTATCTGAGGTAGGAATAGGGCTGAGATAATTTCCCCTCATTGTAGAGGGTGATCTGCCCCCAAGGTCACAGAAGGAAGAGCCATCCCAAGCTCCCTTTCTTTGGAGAACAGGTGAGGGAAGGTTGCATCTAGCCAGAAAGAGCCCATTGTCTTCATCTTTGGT